CTGCGGGCCGACCTGGACCGCCTGGGCCGCCGCCTTGCCCAGACTGACACAGGGTCGGACAGGGCTGGGCTGCCTACCGCCGCTTCCGCCATGACATAGGTACTGTCAGAATGGCTGAGTAGGCGGCGGGGCAGGGCTGGGCGCGGCGGGAGGGGCCGAGGCCGCGGCACGCGGCAGCGCCAAGGGCAGCAGGTGCTAATTCGACACCCCAATTGATAGGGACCAGTGGAGGAGGGCAATTACAGGCAGAGCCGCTGTAAGCACCTTCAGCTGGAGGCTCTTGCTCCAGGCCCTGCTCCGGGCCGGGCCGGGCCGCCGGGCCGGGGGGTGGGCCTTGTTGAGCCGCCCTTTTGTTCCGCCCAGGAAAATACCGGCAATCACGGGGGATCCCTCGCACCGCCCGATCCAGAGACAATGGCCCGGCCAATTCCCTTTTTCATCGGGCAGTCGTGTGCGCGCGTTTTGACGGCCTGAGCGGGATGGAGCGACGCCAGCGACGCGCACAAGTGGCAGGCCGGCCCCAATGAAAGAGGCAAGCCCGAACGAGAAAGGCCAGAAACAAAGTTTCAATTTTTAATTACGCTCAGAGCGTCGGCTGGGGTCGAGCGCTCCGACCCGCCGAGCCATTCGCATGGAACTCTTTCGCATCGCGGAAGGCTTGAGTGAGAATAAACTTGGCACAACGGAGCGGGCCCGGGTCTCGGTAAGTGATAGCGGCAACCAGTTGTTTCAAACGATTTCGCAACTTTTGCAGGCTGCTGAAATAATAGCAATCTAAGGCACAGCCAAAACAAAACAGAATTCAACACAGGCGCACGTAAACGTCAACTGTCCGTCCAGAACTCTTCATAAATTGTGACTGTTTCTGTGATTTATTTTGCTGTGAGTCTGACGTAATAATTAAACTTATAGTTTCTAGAAAAATATCAGATTATTTCCATTTTTTTTAATAAATTTGCAGGTGTACTCTGACCCACTGAGCTGAGCTGTGAGGCTAGGTGGCTGTTTCAAAGAAATCGCCTCCACATTATCTTAAATAAATATAAAAAGGTTGAATAGCAGCCCTTTTGCCGAAACCAGCCCTCGTACCATTCCTGCCCACGCAGCAACAAACAAAGGGGATGGTGGCACACTTGTCTGTTCGTGTTCTTTCTTCAATCCCCCCGCGGCCTCATCCCGGCCCTACCGCCCCCCTGTCCGTGACTCCGGAATGAGGCGCTCTCTAGCTGCGTGATGAAATGTTCCGAGGCAAGTGAAATGAAGAGGGACGTGGCGCGGTGCGGCGCACTCTCCCACCTGTGCCACCGGTGTGCCCACGGTGTGCCCACGGTGTGCCCACGGTGTGCCCACGGTGTGCCCACGGTGTGCCCACGGTGTGCCCACGGTGTGCCCACGGTGTGCCCACGGTGTGCCACCCCACGGCCCGAGCGGCCCCGTGGCAGGGTTGCCCCCACCCCCTCCCCCACGACGCTGGATTCGCGAGCCCGCCTCTGTCAAAGTGAGGCACGCGCCGATGGGGGCAGCGAGAAAAAACAACGGGGCATATACAGAGGGAGAAATGTTATGCATGTACAGGGGAAGTAAAAATGTCGTACTGCTCTAAATGTTAAAGGGACAGTATTGTCGGTCTCCGAAAAAGTGCACTGTTGCGAGCGAGCGAGTGAGTGTGGGACGCCTTCGGATTAAGAAAATCCTTTTCAAATCCGGGTGAAGTTTCAAACACGCAATCCGCTTTTTGTGTGCTGTCTCTTTTTGCGTGATAACGTTGTCGTTTAATGTCGATCTTCAGAATGTAGACAGAAAGATAATTGTATTTTTCTCTTTTTTGTGCCAGCTCGCTGTCACTCGTTCGAGTGATTACTGCCCGTGTTCTTCTCACGCAAGTTCGAGGGTGAGCTCAGAGGGGAGCAGAAGAAGGCAACGAGGAAAAAAAACACAAAGAAATAAGAAAAAGTGCAAACAGACAAAGGCCCTGCTGTATTATTTTTTCCCTTTTTTTTCTCATCGCCCCTCGCCTTTGCCTATACCGGTCCTTTGTGACTACAGAGAGCGCAGTGAGCAGGAGACGTTAAAGAAGGAATTGACTCTGGAGCGTTTTTGTGAATCCGATACCGTGACTCTCCGCCGGGCACACTGCAGACAGAACTGCCAAGTGGACCGGCGATCTCGTTAAATTACGATCCGAATAAAAAGTGGAAAGAGAGCAAAGCCGTCTTATTGAAACAAATGCCGTAATCGCGTCGTCCAGGTTCTACAAGAAGAAGTCGCCCTGGCGTTCCAGAAATGAAGCAGCACTCTCAGCACTCGCGGCTGCTAACGACCCGGCAGCAAAAATGCCAACACACAAAAAGAAAAACGTAAGTTTTCTGTCGATTTTTCATGTTCCTTTTTGTGAGTAAGAAGCCGCTTGGTCACGACGGTCACACACTAGCAGTGCATCTGGAATACAAACACAGCGACGAAATGAGTCAGTCGAGATGACGCAGCCAAAGAACGCCGTCGCCCGGGGCTGTCTCCGCCCTCGTGGACCCGCCAAAAAAGAGTGCCGAAATGAGATGGGGAAACCAGGGCAGTAATGAGGTTAAGGTCGTCCAGCCGAAGGCATCAATATGCATCAGGGAGTGGCCTTTGGACGGCCACTTCACGCTCCATCTTCCCGCCCAAATCGGCGTCCTTCCCTCGATCCCTGATCCCGGCCACGCACATCCAAAGGGGCTTGAAACGCGTCAGGACACGCGGGGCCCAAAAAGCTCGACAGTGCACCACACTGCCAACCCTTTGGCGTGGCGCCTTATTCCGACTCCATTCCCGCGGCGCGTCGATGCATTGCTGCGAAAACAAAGGCCGTGATGGATTCGGGCGAGCGAGCAAACAGAGCCGCATTTGCATTTTGACTGCAAGTATCGCGGCAGCGCGCGGCTCGCTTCGCCATGACGGCGAACAAGAGCAAAGCCTCGGTAAGCAGTTGGTCGACAACTTTCCGGCAAGAAAAAATAAACATCCATTCTACTTCCACTATACTTACCTACTGTTATCCCGTAGCACACACCCATCAGCACGGCTCTTGGCGTAACTAATTTTCGCCAAGCCGCTAACGGGCGGGGCGGATTGGAGTTCCTCCGGGTGTTGCTTTCGAGGTAATTTGAACCATCATCAAGCCACGCCCCACCACACCCCGCTGATAATGAAGAAGCATAATATTCCCTTTCGGTGCGGTAGGCCCTGCCTGGCCCTGCCTGGCCTCGCCCGGCCCGGCGTGGGGGTGAGGGTGAGGCAGGGTCGTCTCTCCCAGGGCGGCCGAGGGTTATCCATTAATATCGCACGACGCAGCGCCGACGCATTTCGGCTTTATCGATTTCGAGATGGGCGGCAGCCAGCACGGCGGTGCATTTTAACGACAAGGTTGCAGCGTGACGACGTCCCGTCCGAGATCTACTCCCAGCATGCAGCGTCGGGGCGCCATTCTATCCTCAGGAGGGCGGGCCTGCATGCATTACTTCCGGTCTAGGACCCGGAAGGACGAGCAGCCGGTGGCATTCCGCTCTCCACCACCACAAGGCATGCTGGCCTCTCCCGGTGACCCGACGCAGAGCCACGCAGCGCCACGCAGCGCCGCGCATGCCGTCCCGGCCCCGGGGAGTTGACGGTAATATTGCGTCAACATTCTGCCCCGCATTCTTCCAAAAATAGTGCACTCCATTGCCTGCGCATATCAACACGCGCGCGCTTCGAGAAAAACCGCAGCGCTTTTTCGTTCCGTCCGAATGATGATGATGATGACAGCGCCTACATTGCTCATCCTCGGGTTTGTTTACCTCGACGGCCGTTTGCCCGTCCGCCCCGGTCCGCCCGCAGCACTCGGCTTCCGACATTAGGGCTGCAGGGAGGGCCATGTCTATTTTCGCTGCTCGCATATTCGTTGTGCGTTATGCGGCCAGACGGTCCACCGGACGGGGCGGCGGGGGCGGCGCGGCACTAGATAGCGCCCCGGGGGTGTTTCCCTGTTCGGCGCATCAAAGCTCGGAATGTAAATAAAGTGGGCCATGCAGCGACCTTCCGCCCGGGACCGTCATAAACAACGTCAACAATTCAGAGGGGAGGGGGCTGTGTCGCATGCAGGGCCGAGGTAAAAATGCGGACCAGCTGCGTCGTCCCAGCAGCGCCGTGCAAGCCCGCCAGCAGCACTCTCGTTTTCCTTCGTGTTGTTGTTTTCGTTGCTGCGCGCGGGATTGTCGAATTAAAGGATTACGCGCGCCGGGAATCCCCTGGAACGGCGCGACCGGGCACGGCTTGGTGACGGCATCGGCGTCATGTCGACCTGGGCGGCCCGGCGCGGCAGGCCCGGCAGGCCGAGCTGCCCCAGCGCGGCTGGCTTGTCCAATCAATTTTATGTTTTCCACACGGGCGTTCCCTCTGGGAAATTAATTCGCCACACAAACGAAGCGACAGGGGACGGAAAGGCTGGCGGGGCACAGTCCCTGCAGGTGGGTGGATATAACGAACCGAGTTCCCCGCAGACTCGGTGTCATTTTTCTCGGTCCCAGCTTCCAGCGGCGGGGCGGCAGCGCGACAGCTCGGCGATTTCCGCCACGAGCGCGGTGCAAGCGGCAGCGAGGTTCAGAAAACGGACTTTTACAGCAAGTTCGGTCCGAGCGACTCGGGAGTGCCGTTACGCTCAGAAGCACAGTTGCAGCGTTTCCTCCCAAACTGCAGCGCCGACGCCGCGTGCACTGCAGGCTGCGCGCTAGGTGTGTACTTGGCAACTCACACAGTGGTGTGTTACGCACGCCTACACCAGTTTGCACACCACTATCCGCGAGTGTTCCCCTCGGAGAGGCCCGCCCTGTAAACGCGTGCATATTGGATGAGCCACAAAGTCACCAAGCGAGTGAGTACCCCCGATCACCTCGGCGGCTAGAGCGGCGCGGCTGGGGCGGCGCTCTCTCGGGATGTCAACGGGCGAACGGGATAATGGCGCATGCAAGATGGATGCCACTCACCGGTCCACGCTGATCATGCACAGGTTGAGGATGGAGGCCGTGCAGGAGAGCACGTCGAACGACACCCACAGGTCGCACATGACGCGCCCGAAGTCCCAGCGGCCGAACACCTCGTGGAGCAGCGCCATGGGCATGACGAGCACGGCGACGCAGATGTCGGAGACGGCGAGCGACACGAGCAGGTAGTTGCAGGGCCTGCGCAGCTTGCGCACCAGGCACACGGCCACGCACACCAGGATGTTGCCGACGAAGGTGACGATCACCACGCACAGCAGCACCAGCGCGATCACCACGGCCTGCGCCGTGGAGTACGGCGAGTCCCTGCCGGGGAACCATGAGATGAGGCCGCCGGCGGCGAAGGCAGAGTCGGCGTCCGCGAAGCTGCCGGGGGCGAAGCTGGGGCCGAGGGGGCCGGCGGCCAGGGAGGCGTTGTCCAGCTCGAGCAGCGTCGACGCGTTGGGGAGCAGCAGCGCACTGGGGCTGGGAGTCTCCATACGAAGTCTCCGCAGCGGCCGTGGCCTGGGCCTGGGCCGTGGCCGGGGCCGTGGCAAGGCTCGGCCTCACCGCCTCACTCTAGGCCGTGGCCCTGGCCGTCGCGCCCCGCAGCACCATCACCGGGCACGCGGCGCGCTCAGCGGCGGTGGCGGCGGCGGCCACGCCCGGGAAGGCGGCATTGGCGGCGCGGTCGGCGTCGAGGTTGGCGGGCGTCGTCGCGGCCCACAGCACGACGCTCCGCGACGCGGCCGCGGCATCGCCATGCCCCACCCGGACCCTGCAACAGCAAAGAGAGCGTCAGCAACACAGGTGGAAGGCAGCCCAGGTAGAGCCCGGCCAAACCACGACAGGCAGACAGCAAGCCGCGCTTTCACTGCATTGCAGCAACTTGAGGGCCGCTCTCGCTGCAGCAAACTACCGCAGTCAAACGTCACTAGTGAGAGCTTGGGCGAGGGCGCGGGTAACGAGACAGAGTCGGCTGTGCCTGCCTGGCTTGGCTGCCACTTCAGCCACACTGGCATTGCCTTGCTGGCGACATTAAAGACGTCACCTAAAGGCCAGCATGATCCCAGCGCACCGCCGCCGAAAACGAACCGACAGCGTCCACGGCACACAGTGAAAGGGTGTGAAGATGCAGGGCCGTGACAGTGCCACGGAGGTCCGGCGGTGGCGGCGCTCCACGCCCGTCCACGCCCGTCCCACTCCACGCGTAGCGGCCAGAGAGAAAAGCTCGCGGACAAAGGCTCAGCGCCGCCACGGCTCTCGAGGCTCTCGAGCGACAGGGATGAGAGAATATGTCCAAACAAGAAGACAGGAGGGCCGTCCGCTGCGGAAAATGTCCGCAGAAAAAGAGTCATAAAGTGCCGCTTAAGGCCGTGGCGGGTAACGAGCGAGTCGGTTGTTGCGCCTGGCTGCTGCCACTTCAGCACACTGGAATTGCCTTGGGGGTTAAAGACGTCACCTAAAGGCCCATGACCCGCCGCCTCCACTGAAAACGAAAAATAAAGCCACACAGTGAAGGGGGGGGTTGAAGAAGGGTTTGCCTACAGGCCACGGGGTCCGGCGGGGCGCGCTCCACGCCGTCCGAGCCCTCCCTCTCCACGTTTAGCTCCCTGGAGGGTGAAAAGCTCGCGGAAAAGGCTCAGGCCGCCACGGCTCCGAGGCTCTAAAAAGCGTCAGGGAGAGGGTTTATGTGCAAACAAGAAGCCCGGAATTGAAGTCCGGGCGGCATGGTGCCCCCGAAAAAAGAGACATGAAAGTCCCGCTAAAGGCCGTGGCGCCACGGCGCGGCGGTTCTTGCTTACGCCGACGTCTTCCGCCAAACCCTGCCGCGGCCTCGAACCGGGGCGCGCACCGCGAGCAGCCTCTCACGAAATTGGACCCGCCGGCCTCCACTTGATTGAAATTGAGAAATGAGGTAAGGAAAATGGCGTTCGACGCCAAGGGGTTGGGAGGACCAGCGCGTCTGAGAGCGGGGGCGCGGGGTTCAGGGGCCGCCTTCCACTTAAATGCTCCTGGAGGGTGAATTTCACCAAAAAAAGTGCAGCGGGGGCCGACCGGACGCGGCAAAGGTCCGCAAAGCCAAGACTGGCCCTCGGCAATTTGAAGCCCTTTGCTGGTAGTCCTTTGTAAACTAGTGGGCGGGATTAATGACGGAGTGAGACGCTCTCTTCCCGCCGACCCCGGAGCCGCCCCGTCACGTCCGTCGGGTCGGCTCGGCTGAGGCGGGCCGATAATAGGTACCTTCCGGGGATCGCTGTCGCCGAGACGGTCTTGCGGAAAAAAGGCGGGACAAAAAGGGGCGGCAAGAAACGCCGCGAGTTGGGAATGGACCAGCGTCGTCGTCCAGCAGCGTGAAGACCGGGGCCGGGGGCGGCTGGGGCCGAGGGACCATCGCTCCGGCCGCCACTGCTGCGGGCAAGACGCGCGACCGCGCTGCTGGGAAATTAGAAACGGAGCCACACATCAACCGGTTGTCTCGCCAGAAACTTCTTAAGCCGCGGGGCCTTATTCAAGGCGAGCTGGTGCCAGTGCTGCCGCGGGAAATCCGGAGACAAAGCAAAGGAAACCCCGAGCCTCGTGGCGCGCGGGCGAGGCCGGGCGAGCGCCCGTCGCGTAGGCCATGCGCCGAGCAGCGCGGCGTGGCGGGCCTGCCTGCGTCACAGGCGCCTGGCGAGCCCAGCGCGAGCCCAGAGGAAGGTAAACGGGGCCGACTTTGTCATTTTGGCAGGCCGGCTCGACCTGTCCCGAACTGTGAGACGGATTTCAGGCACTTCTTGGACCGGGGCGGCCGGCTCATCAGGCTTCCTCGCGGTTTGCCTGGGTTTGCCCAACTCCAGGCGCGGCAGGGCCGGCCACCAGCCGCCATTGAGGCATAGCAGCCAGCGTGCATTGCATGCCCACCGTGCCGGTGCATCTCCTCAGCTCGAGGCATACCAACCACCGCGAAAGAGTTTGTTGTAAATCCCTGCCGCTCAGCAAACAACCGCCGCGCACACACTCAGGCCCCGGCCCTGCCACACTTCACGGCTCCACCGCCTTCTTCGCTTCTTCCCGATTTCTTTTTTCAATCCTGGAGCTAAGATAAACAAAACCGCCACGCGTGAAATGGCGACGCTGCCACGGACGACAAAAAAAAAAACTTTGGCACACACGGACGCAGTATCTCGCTCAGACATGTCAGTGGGTCGCTTGTCATCGGGGAATGGATCCGCACACAGGAATACAGGTCGGCCAATCATACCGAATAGTTGGAGCGCGTGCGTCCCGAGTGCACAGGAAGACTGTGACCGACGACCCGTGAGGCAAGCGCAGCGTAGTGCAGCGCAGAGTATATAGGGGAGCAGATTGGAGAATAGACGATAGACGTGGTTGGCACACAGGAGGCTTGCCGACGACAAGCCAACCATCTCCGCACCCGTATGCGCGCACACACACACACACGTACACACACGTCAGGCGAAGCGCCCTGGCGGGGCGTGACAAGATGGGTTTACCGTTTGCCTGTCGAATCGCTCGGTCCCAATATCACTCACGTATTCCGGAAGGAAATCTCCGGGGAAAGGGTGGTGGGGCGGGGCGGCGGGGAAGTGCATGTAGGTGTAGCTGGCCGGGAAAAGGGGGAAACAGAGTAGATTGGCGCGAGTCCTGGCGTCGCGACGCCGTCAGGGCGCCTTGCCCGCCTCACGGGGACCCCTGCAAATCGCGTGGAGGGTGTTAACCCCGCCGCCGTGAGGCCGTCAAGCCGCGAGGCCGTGAGCCCGCCTGGGAGAGTAAGTGTCGCCGGCACGCACGCCGCGTCAGTGAATAAAAAATACAAATGGAGATTGGCAGCCCGGATTCGAGAAAATTGCGACGCGCACGTACTGTTCAAGCAACGCACGCCACTTAATCATTTTCATTTTTTTTTCAGACGACGAGCGGAAGCCTTCACTTCTCTGCGTATCGTCAACCAGTTTTCAAGGAAAGTTGTTGGGCAGTGTGCGGTGGTGGTGGAGCAAAAGATGATCGCTCCTTGATGCATGCACTGCTTTGGGGTGCGGCCAAGGACCTGGCAGATTGCGGGGCCCCTCCAGGCCCTCCCGGGCCCTTGCAGGCCCTCGCCGAGGGTCGAGCGGGAAATTCGACCAGGGACGGCGGGGATAGGGCCAAGCGTACGGCGGTGGCGTGCCCGGCCATGCACGTCACGTCGTTGCGAATCCGATATCCCCCAAACCATCCACATTTTGCTTCCTTTCCAAGTGGTTCCCATCGCACGAAAAATAAAAGGGCCCGACTCGGTTTTGAGGAGCGACTTTGCTTGGTGCTTCCCCGGGGGCTTGAGCAGGCAGACGCGCCCTCCGGTTCCAGCCAGGGTCCACAACTTTCGCTCTCAAGTCATGGCTGCTCTTTAGCCCCCGACTGGCGAGGCAAGGCGAGAGGCCCGCCCAAGTTCGCCGAGAGCTCTCCCTCCTCGCGGAATCATTATCGTGCAGCTTAAGGTGCCGACGTGGCGAAAATCAGCAAGTAATTGTCCGACCGAGTCGAGTGTCAGGATGCGGTGGCGCGCCGTGGAGGGAGGGTTGGAGTCAACGGGGGAGGCGCACTTACATCACTGCCGCCTCACCTCGCCCCGCACGCACACAGTGAGAGACGCACACACATAAACCATTCGGCGCCATCCACCTGAGACTGCGCGACTCAGGCCCGCCCCTGTAGGCCTTGAGCAAGTCGTAAACCTCCTGGGTGGAGGCAGGCGCGAGGCAGGCTCGAGCAGGCTCACGGCACATCCAGAGGTAATGACGCTGCTTTTTCTGTCGCATAAACAAGGCAGCCGATCCAGCGGGGCCTTCTCTCCGGCTCCTGCTTCTGTCCCGCCTCTCTGCCGCGGCCCGGGCAGCCCCACGGTACACCTTGGGCATTCCAGTGCACTTAGCGTGCCGCGTGCTTCGGGGCATGCCGGGGGGGCCGGCCGCTCTCCGGCAAACGTCGCTTTCCTTGGAACGATGGAAACGCCAAGACATTCCGGGAATGACGTCCACGGCCCGGCACGGCAGGCACGACAAACCACACATGCCGACGCTGCAGTGCGGACGATGCGCAAGGTCCGGACGCATCAGTCCGCCGCTCCAGTTATTGCCCCATACCCATCCATTGTCCGGGCCCGCTCGGCCTGGCTTTACGGCGGGGCCCTGCGACTGCACCGCAACAGGCCGCAGGCTGCAACCGCAGCGGCGACGTCCGCCACCGACCAGGACGGCGGACTCTCGATGCCGGCCATCCAAGGCCGGTTGACATTGAGACAGTACCAGCGTGCACTTAAAAAAAAGGCAACTTTGTGAATATTTTTAACTTCATCTCCATGTGTACTAACCCTCCTTCTCGGCAGTGTAAGTGCAACCTGCTTGCGTGACGCGGGAAAAGTCAGCCTCAGCCCCGGACTCGACGTGCCCCCCTCCCGTACACCAGCGCAGCAGTCCTCCACCCTCCCCGCCCGCGGCCTCGCGGCCCTAATCTTTAATTACTCAGTGCAGCCTCCGCCTTGCTCGCCTCCCCATTCAGCCGCCGTCCCCTTCGCTGTGCCTGGCTGTGCCTTGACCCCGTAAACCGGCCAAACGGAATATTTAACACGCCCTAAATGCTCGACAAAAACAAGGCGTTTCTTCGCGGGCCGTGGACCTCGGTGCGGGCTTACGTTTTACACCGGCGCGTCACATAAAAGGCAAGTGTATGAAAAACTCGCCCTGAGTGGCCTACACTCGCTGCGAAAGTACCTGGTGGCGGTCATCACCTCGGAGC